CATACTTTGTTATATACTTCAATAGATGTTATAATGTAGGTAGGTTTCAAACACTCAGAATTATGGGGAAAAATTATAGTGGAAAACAAAACCTGGACTACTTCATTACTAACATAGCAGTGCTTATGGCTTAAAAAAAGGTGATGATGTTCTAAGGTGGTGGTGATTGTGTCTAGGCAGATAGATGGGGATTTGCACTGTTGTGTGAACAATGCATATGAAAGGAAAGCTGTCTGATGCTTAAGCAATTCAAACGGTTCAGAAGTTAAGCTTCCTTAAGAGGAATAGTTCGAAGTATTTCCTTCATTCCCAAATCTTTTCACCTTATATTTTACAGAACATTAACTCTAGAAAAGTCCCAAATTTATTGGCTGTATAATGTTGCCTGAAGCAAGAGATTCTGTTTTTCTTCCCTGCACGATATCTCAAACTCAGGCAGAAAATTTAGATGGAAAAACAGGAGGGAAAAGGCTAATGTGATAACAAAAATAAAAAAGACTACACTGGCCAGAGGCAGTTGATAACCGAGTCCCACACTGATACAGGACTGTAGCTCAGACAGTATCCTGCAGGACTGGGCCAGGCCTGGGCAATTGTCAGAAAAGCAGAAAGGGAGGATAACAAGCTCCCCTGGACTCACAGGTGTACCCAAAATGATGGAGCAGGAGTTATGTGTACACTGATGACAATAAAGAAGACATTGCCTTTGAAACAGGGGTTGGGGTCCTTGCTGTCGAGTACCTGAGATGCTTGTACATTGTATATGGCACACAGACACATGGCACAGCCGTACCATGCAGAGATGAAAAAAGAAGCAGCCAGTGGATGGGAGAAGTGCCGTGCCTTACTGTGGCACTCCTTCAGAACTCAAACCCATACCTTTCAGCAGGTGGAGCCACAGCAGTAGGTTAGAGCCGCCTGTTTGGCTGCAGAGCTGTATCATTAAAGAAGTGATCTCTGTGGCACCCTCAATTTCTAAATAAAACTACAGCCTAAACAATCTGCAATGAGACTTGTACTGATCTTTTCTCCCAGTACATTTTATCCATAGGACTATATATAGTTCTGGTAAACAATCACAAGGCATAAGAAGTAGAACAATAGGAAGCATAATAATAAATAGCAATTAATACATCATTAATTTTTTTTCTTCCCAAGACAGAAGGAAATGGAGAAAACAATGCATTTTGATGTCAACATCAGCAAAATTTCTGGATCCTGCTCTGTGAGTACTTAATCATCCTGACATATAGGCACTTCCATGGGAGTTTTGGCAGTGAAACTACCCAGGGAAAACTTTTTGTTCAAGCAGGCTCCTCAAACTGCTCATTTTTTTTTTTTCCAGAACAGTGTGATTTTATCATGATAATACAGCATAGAAAACATATTCCAAACTGTCTTTGGTACTTCCCAGGCAATTGACATTCAAGTATTTAATTTAGACTTCATTAAACAGTTATTATATATTAAACAAATAGCAGCTATATACTAAAACATATTTGCAGAGTATTATAGCAATGCAATAGGTTCATATCAATTTCACTGTTATGAATCTATTACATAACTTTTAATCCTTGGTGAGTATTTAATAATCAGTATTCATGTAACATACACTAACTGTCCTATTAAATCTAAATTAATTGTGGCTCAGAGAACATTAATTTAAAAGGTTGCCTATTTTCCCAGCAGATCTGATCTTTGTTTCATATTTTTCCATTACAATTAGTGTTAAAGGCTGAGTTTGTTTCATTTAGAATCTAGTTACTAGGTGCTCTGAATACCTGTGAATCACATTCTGTGAAGCTTCTCTGCTAACAGCAATATTAAAGATTCTCACCCTTTTTCTTCCAGTGTAATTAGCATTATCTGGAGATACTAATGATAATAAAATATCACACATTTGTGTAGCAAAAGCAATCCCTATTGGCTGAAGGAACTGACATTCAGCAGTTCGTTAAAACCAGTGGGTCAAAATTTGTCAGTGGGATTTGTATATTTCTAGTTTGCAAAATGGATGGATGTTACATTGAAAAATTTGAGATACTTTCCTTGTTTAAATGAATCATGATCTCCACTATGATGATGTAAAAGTGACTCTATCCTTTGTCATCCTCTGCAATAAATGTGAGAAGCTGCAATAACACTGCCTGTAGACCTTGATGGAGATGGCATTGCTATGAGCAATAATTGGCATCAGAGAGTTTTGGTAAGAGAACTAAGTTATTTCATTGGAGAAAGGGTCAAGAATCCTTGAAATTAATGTCAGAAGAAGCTGTTCAGTCATATAGTCTAACATATAAGAAGCCATCACAAGTCCATAGTGAACTCAGTAGATTGTAACTGATTCAAGCTCTCTAGAAGGATATTTCTGAGAACATCCAGAGCTAGAGAATTCATTTTTAGTGATCTATTTCCAGTGACTGTTCACCTTTAGTTTTAAAAATCAGTTTACTATTTTTCTAAAAAACTAGTATAAAGGCATTATTTAGCAATGTACAGGAATGGTATCAATAAACTGAAATCATATCACCTCTCAGTCTTTTTAAAGCCAAACCATCTCTGTCATACAAAAATATTCCCTTCTGTGGATCTCTTCTTTGCTCCCTCCAGTTTTTCAAACCCTATCACCCCCAAAAACAGTTCCCAAAACTGTGTACAATATTCCAATCCTAGCCTCATCAATGCCATCTAACTTCTTTGTTCCTATTTACCATTACTTCCATTTACTCTGTTTTGTTTTTCTGCAAGTGCAGATTGAGAATCAGAAGCCCACTGAACTGTCTGTTAGTTTATAGATCTACCTTCAGTTTTTTGTGCTGTCTAGATACCATGCCCAGATATACCTGCATTGAAAACACAGGGCTGTTTTAGCAATTGCTGAGCTATTCTTACACAGCATCAAGGCCTTTTCTTCTCACTCCACCCCATCAGTGGAGAGGCTGGGCGTGCACAAGGAACACGATGCACAGGGGACATGGCCAGGACAACTGACCCAAGGGATATTCCATATCCTGTGGCATTATGCTCAGCATACACTGCTGGAGGGAGGAGAAGGACACTTCCTATCACTTTTGGAGTGATAGCCAGTGTTTGATAGAGCCCTGCTCTCCTGGAGGTGTCTAAACATCTGCCTGCCCACGGGAAGCGGTGAATCAATTCCTTGAGAAGTGGTGAATTATTTTCTTTTTTTTGGGGTGGGCAGCTTTTCCATTAAACTGTTTTTATCTCAACCCATGAGGTTTCTCTTTTACCTTTCCAGTTTTCTCCCCTGTCTTCCACCAGGGCAGTGAGCAAGCAGCTGTATGGGCCTTAGGTGGCGAGTGGGGTTAAACCATGACACTCACATAAAGTCAGAGATTTTGGCCCTTTTTGGCCCTTGCCATCTATTTCTTGCATTCATTCTATTTCTATACAGCCTTAGCACTGATGTTGTAGTCCTAGTTCTAGTTTGGCTGAAGCAGTGAACTTTAATCTCAGCTGATTCATATCTGAAAATACTAAACAAACAAGTGACAATGTTTTACTTCACTGTCCCTCACACCTTGGAGAAATACACACTCACAGAAAACAAGAAGTTCAGGAATTAAGAGAGGATATGGTCTTGTGAACCAAGGGTGGAAGGCACTTTGCTAGTCCTGTTTAAGCAGAACTTTCTCCTTTGCTCATTAAGTCACTGGTTAATTGAGCTAGATTTTATTAGTTGTGCTATTGCTTACTGCTCAGTTTAATATCCACCTCTGTTTCTTTGCCTCTGGAAATCAAGAGGAGGCTAAAATTATATTGCAATTTAAAAGAAGAGAATAAGTGAGGTTTGAGGAAAAATGAAGAAGAATTATAGGCCACTAAATTTAACTTCAATATCTGACAAATAACTAGAACAATTAGTAAAGCAAGAGCAATCAGTATGTAAACAGGTTGAAGAAAACACAGTGATAAATTGGTAACACATTTGTAAAAAGCATAAATCAAGTGAAACCAAACTAATTGGTTTCTTCAATGAAATAATGAATGCACAAAGCAAAAGTGGTAGACAGTATTTCTTAATATTTGTAAAACACTAATCTTGGTTGCGCATGGCATTCTGAAAAAGAAGTTTAGTTGGATTAAATAGAACCAGCACAAAATGAACACACAGGTAAATAAATCAAACCCTGAAAAAACTTTTCCAGTTGAGCTGATAGCTGGGAGTAGATCAAAACCACTTTGCACGATCAAACATCTTACACAGCTCAATTTTAACATGAAGAGATTTTTTCTCTTAAGTCAAAAAACCCCCATAAAACAGCATCTCATGTTAGAAACACCTAAGTAAAGAAACTGAGCAGACCAGCAAAAATGACAGCCATTTTGGTTCTATGCCAGCACCAGAATAGCTTACATCAGCATCAGTTTTCTGCTACACAGCTGAGTTACTTTATTTAGATATATTAAATATTCCAAAGCATATCTAAATAGAGCTTTGGTTGCTGCAGGATTATCTCAAATTTATTTATTGACGTTGCTTCTGTTGACTGGTATTTCTGTCCATACATCTAAAATTGCAGGATTCATTAAATGTTTATGCCTTTTTGTTTTGACTGAGTGAAAAAAGACATCTACTGGCATGGCCTGTCTTTGGGATCTTTTGCTCTATTTTCTTTATAAAAGCTAATAAAAATTCATATGATTATTTATTTGTTTTTACCACAGCAAATAGTCATGCTGTTGGCAGGTGTGGCCACCTATGTTTTTTGACAACTAAGATAAAGTTTTGGCTTTTAAGAATACAGAAATTTGTTCTTGCCCCAAAAATCTGGTGTGCTAAGAGGCAATAGGTGATAGAGATATGAGATCCCAAGATATCAATGAGAGGCTCTTTATAAGACACAGGCAGCAAGTGTAGCAGGAACATCAGCTGTCTCATTATTGTCAAGACTTTTCATTGCAATTAGAGGAAAGGAACATTTTTAGAAGTTTTAAAGGATGATTATCAAGTCAGTTTTGCAGATTCTTATGAGACAATGCACAGACCTGAACGGCAGGTGAGCTAATCAAACCTGACAATAAAACACAACAAATGTATTTTAGTGTTAGAATAAAAATATAATGGTGAAAGAAGACATCAGTTGTAAAAAAAAAAAAAAGAAAAAAAGAAGAAAAGAAGACTGAAATCCAGAGCACAGAGAACAGGCAGATGCAATGAACAAATGAACAAAGTGTTTAATACAAGAAAAAGCAAATGCTATTAATTGTTAAAGAGTTGATTTTGTCTGCACATAGACTTCAGTGGTGTTTATTTTAAAGTATAATGAATGTATTTGTATGCCACAAATAAAAACCTAGTCAGTAAAACTTCTGCCACGGTCATTTCTACACCCTTAGTGTAATCCAGAATGCCTTAAAGTTGAAATAAATGCAAAATTGCTTCTGACTTCCCCAGGAACGGCTTTGCACTCATAAGCATTGAGCCTTCTCATTTCAGTCAAGTACCACATGACTTGACTAGTTAATTTTAAAAAGGGCAAGGATACAATATCATTAGATAGATTGGGGTTAAAAAGTTATGATCTTATATTTTAAATAGTAAAAAATTACTTCTCTGGATTTTCCTCAGGGAAAGGATAACATGTAAAGATGCAAAGATGAAGGTAACTTTGTTTTCCCTCATAATGAATGCTACCTCAAATGTGTGTACTAGTACAATCACAATATTGTCTTTGGATAAATTCAAGAGTTTAAAAATACATAATTAAAATGTATGGATTTAGGTTTTTTCCCACTTATAGCTCAATTTCTCCTTAGACATGTTCATAGGAAAGAATGGCAGCAACCTTTAACAGCATACAAATACATAACGGATTGCAAGTACTGCTTGCTGAGAAGAAAATATAGGGTACATGCACTATACAGAGGGGAAATTTTGCTTATGATGGGTGGACTAGACAGTAAACAAGAGTGACTGAAGTTCCTGCTGTTGGAGGCCCACGTGGCTGGAGTTGATGCAGTGTGGAAACAGAAGACACAATATCTTTTAAGTTACTCTCAGCAGGCCATAAGGGCATTTTAAGAAGCCCACACACCGCTACCTCTTCTTTCAGAGGAAGTAATGTACCAGGTATGTTTTCAAAAGTTGCTGGGAATTGTACACCCTATCTAATGTCCCAATTTTTACATTCCAGGTAATTGAGAGCCCTTTTTTAGACACTGGTATTTTGAAGCAGCACAGTGAAGAGTACATATCCTACAAAGTTTACAATTCCTTGTTGTGAGTTATAACAGATATAGATATTTCTACTCTAAAGCTAAAACCATTTGTTTTAGCATACCTAAACAAATTTATTCATAAGTGACAAGATTTTCACTTAAAAAACCCCTAACAGCCTCTGATATAGGAAGGTCTAATCTGAGCTTAAAATACATTTTTAGGAAGGTTTCCTAGGAGACAGGTAAGGGTAATTTTTTCTTTTTTTAATTGAGAAGCTGTAATAGAAATATCTATGTAGAAACATATACAGATAAGTAGTTCGCAAAGTTTTAAAGTGTTTTTCAGATCTACCCCACAGAAATTCATTTGGTCACATAAATGTAAGTAAGAATGCAAAATAAGGTAACAAATGTTAAGATGTTAAGATACATATGCCCTTTCTGAATGCCTTCAGAAAACAAACAAACAAAAAAAACACCACAACTGTATAAGGAAACAGGGGCTGTGATTATATGAAGCTGAAAAAATTTGAATTACAGCTGTATAGGAAATTCCAGGATCAGATTCTTATTGCTCATAGTTACCGTTTTCCAATTGCTAGTCTACAATGAAAAACAGAAAAGTTAATACTTCGAACATTCTTAATTGAAATATTAGCATAATTCATTTGCAAAGACATACCTCCTACAAATCTCTACCAACATTTTTTTTCAAATCAAAGATGTATAGCTTCTGAGGTGTAGCAAAGAGTACCATGCAGTGGTCTACCATGCAATTATCTAAACCAAGAATCAAAGACAATATCTGAGTAAGACTAGATGGTGGGAGCAGGAAGATATTAAAAAGGCAGAATTTTATTACTGGATGAAATTTAACCGGGGGAAATAGTACAGTATGTAGTTTCATTGGCTCTAGTCAATCTAATTGCCATTTGCAATCTGAAAGACAGCTTTTCTAACCTGGCCATGCAGGGGACATATGGCTTCTTGTGGGACATATATCCAAGACATGCAGAAACCCTGTAACAATAAAAAACCCTACAATACTAGCTCTTGCAGATATTGCCTGTAGGAGATACAATCCATAACACAGCTGGGTATAGCTATGTGGCCATGGCAGCACTAAGATCAGCACAAGCTTGCCACCTAAATATTTATGTCTTTAGTCAATTGCACAATTGCTATCAAAATAACAGTGCTATCAGCACATCAACTAGTTACCTGAAACTCAGTCTCTGTAAGTATACAAACCTAATCACAACCTTCATTACAGAGTAAAATTTTCTACTGGAAGGAAGAGCTTCTGACAGGTTGAGATTCTGTTTCCCCAAAGAGCCTTTTGTTCAGTTACTCACTTTGCCTAATTTTAGACAGAGTGAACTGACTTAATTTCATGCACTTGTCAGCTTTGGTACAAAGTGCCTAAGCCTTCTCCAGCCCTAAGCATAGGCTGAAAGTTAATTTGCTCACTGGGAGTTTGTGTGCTTCCTTCTGAAAATGCTGATCATTGCCACACAGAATACTCACATAGCTGGATGCACTGAATCTATTCCAGTATATCATGCCTTTATAGCTGATAAACAAGTTCCACAGAAAAAGTATCATGAAAATGCTAAGAGAAGGAGAAGGTGGGATGACCTTCTCAGGCCATGACAGCAGGTGTAGGGAAGCAAAGCTGCATGAATTTCAATTAATTAATTAATGACACTGATAAAAAAGTAATATTGAAAGTACCTAATGAAACTTCAATTTATGATAAATTATTCTATACTAGTATGCTAGGATCTTGCCGTATGTTTTAACATAACGTTACCTTGTTTGTGTGAATAACTGCAATCTGCTAACATAGGTACACTTAGCCACATTTCACAGAATTGTAAATCAATAGTCTAATTTTACTAGGTTTACCCACTTTTTCCACTAGGTAAAGCCCTTTATCATCCACTATGGAATTATGACCATGGCTTTTAATTTTTGCAATATAAAAGGTTTATATATATTTATATATTTACAAGATTTTTGACAGCCTTGTGAAATTGGCTTCAGCAAATACCCAGCCCCTGCTTTCTCAATACCTTACCCCACCAGTTTAAGATTCAGTCAGATTTTATCTGAGGCTCACAGAACAGGCTCACCCTATGCTTAGAGTTTGTATTCACACAGTTTGGTTTAAGCTGAGAACATAACCACATTTAATCCACTTCATGTTGAATGATCTAATCCTTTGTGATTTTAGAGCCAGGTAAAAGTGCTGTAAGTATTAGCAAGTTTATATATATGGTTGAAAATGCCTGGGCTACTTGAGCTGACACTGTGCACATGCCTTGCTTAGGTAGCATTTGTCAATGAAAGACTCTCATTCTCAGCATTTGTACCCTAGCTAGTTTGGCAAGTCATGTTATTTGTACCTTCAGAGTATGCTATAGTTTTCCTAGGCTCTTTTCTGAATAGAGTAAGTACTATCAGGAGAATAATTATTTCTTCATAAACAATGCCCTTGTTGATGACTGTATTGTTTATAAAATTCATCTGTTTTATAGTCAAGCAGTATATTATATAAATGTGAAAATAAAATGCTTATTTTAAGGTCTTAAAGATGCACAGCTGAAGATCTTCTTCCTCTCCGAAATGTAAATGCCATTAAAATCACTTTTTCAGCAATTAAAGAGCATTAGGTAGACTTTCAGTTAAGATAAATTTACCTCAAAAATATATTCATCACTCTTTTCAAAAGTAAAGCCCCAAAGCAAAATACACATAGTTGCCAGCAGCTTTAGTCAAAGCTAAAATTAGCCATGCTGATTAAGTGGATTTTGCATAACCTTAACTATTAATCCCTCATATTGGTCTTCCTTTCTTTGAAAAATCTTTAAGTACCAATAACCTAAAGGTTTATAGAGTCACTTTTTAATACTTCTTAGTTAAGATTTAATCCTTTGTATAATAGTTAACATTGGCACCATCTTTTAATAGCACAAGATTTCTAACATGAACTTTTGCTGAACAAAACAGACATTTCCAATTCCAGGGAAATAATGACAATACACATAGAGCAGAACAACTTTGATTTAAAGAATTAAAAAATTTACTTACAAGAGATAAAATGGAACTAACAGTAAATTAATCTCTCAGTTTTCTCCCTTTCCTTAAATAGTAGTCTTTTCATTCTTAATTCTTTCCCCTTCCATTTTCTTTAACTCAGCTCCTTATTTTCTAACAGCCAGATTGCCTCCCATCTTACCTGGCTAAGCAGGACATAAATTACATTTTCCAGAAGACCAATAATGAATTTGACTCCAAGTCTCTTTTTGAAAGCAACCCCTGTTTTATAGACACTTCTTCTGAAAAGGCAAGATAGTGCTGAGTCCTGGATCATTCTGTTGCTGTCAGAAGGAAATTAAATTACCGCCTTTAAAAGTTGAAATTGTTCCTATTTTCAGAGTAGGTCAAGGAGGAGCAAAGTGAAGGAAGTTGTTCTTCAAAAAGTGGTGTGCCTTTGCAAACTTTGACTCTTGTTCGGGGCTGGCCCTGCTAACAGAGGGTGCTTTCTCTGAAGATTTATCCAACACCTTTTGTTTCAGATTTGCTCCAGACTAAGAATGCAAATATTACTGGCTACCCAAGCTCAGCCAACACCTGGAAGCTCATTAGTTTACCATAACTCCTTTGTGTTCCCCAGCCCTGCCTCAGCATTTCATAGCATTTGCTCATCTGCCTGTTTTTTTACAAAAAGCAATCAACCTTCACATTTTGTAATAATTTGCATTTTCTGATATTTACTTTTTTAGCACCAATAATTTGAAAAGGGTTAGGCAACACCAGCAATCCTGCTTCCTTC